CAAGGCAATTCTATTTTTGAACTGTATTACCTATGAAGTGCGGTTGCGGGAAGTGCCTTTAAAAGGGGTACTTCTGAAGTCTCTGACTTACTCTGCAACACACGTAGCAAAATAGCTCGCTCTGGTGAAACAGTGAAAAAGAGCTCTGAGAGCTCGTGCGCAATCTCTGAATGTGCGTGGACAATGAAAATTCGAAAATTCGTGTATTTCAGTGAATCCACTTTTTTCCTGTTTCTTGATTGCTCTGAAGCCGAGCTACAGTCTCTTTCTGGCTCCACCCATCTCGGACAGGCCCCTTCAGTAACATTTGTGCCTCGCACTTCTCAACCGGCGACCCTTCGCTGACCTTGGTCCACTTTCTTCCGGTAAATGGAGTGCTCTGTAAGCGTCTTACAGATTTTTTTGTCTCGCTCCGCCCTTATCAGAGCAGGCCCCACGGCATGTGTCCCCCCACTTCAACCGACGACCCTTCGTTGACCATAATGCATTTTTTTCGGTCTCTGAGATGCTCTGGAACTGAGCTAAAATTTTTTTGAAATGAGCACCCTATGATTGAGTGCAAGCTCCGCCCACTGTGGGCGGGTCTCAACACACCTCAGGCATGCCCAACTCTCTCCCCAGATGTTGCCCTCTGCATCGACTTTTTTTTGCTATTTCTAAACTGTCTGGGGAACCGAGTCACATTTTCTGGGGAGCACAGCCCATCTCAGGTAGGCCCCGCCCATTACTGGTGTGTCTCCCCCAATTAGTCTGACAACTACTTGCTAACCTTTGACCACTTTTTCCTCATCTCTGGGCTGCCTGGAAGCGAACTATAAATCTTTGTCTGCGGCAACGCTAACTTCGCCGCATGCTCCGCCAACTGCGGGCGGGGCTTCGCATAGGTCATGTGTGCTCTTTACTTCTTGTCCCCTTGTCCCATGCTCCTACCTATCCCCACCTTGACCCGATCTCTACAAGTTGTTCTTCATGTCGAACCGAATTTCCGGACAGACAGGCAAACAAACAAGCAAGCAAACAAACAAACAGACAAAGCAAATTCTATATTCTGGGGTGATACGCTACTTTTTTGCCTTTTCTTTCGTCTTCTTTCTTGAGGGGCGGGGGTCATTTTAGCAGAAATTTATCACAACGCGGTGGCATACCCTGCTCGAAAGCGCTTACAGGACTCAAGGTTCCAGTATTGATCACTACAGTGTGTGCATAATCATATGCGGTTTCAGGATATTCTACGTGTCGCATGATTCCCAGGATCTTCAAATCTTCTCTTATATAGCGCGTGATGGCGCAAGTAATACTTTTAAGTGCAATGTATTCAAATGTTCAAAAAAGGTACGTTTGATTTTCTTCGCAACCGGAATAACTGAAGAGCTGTGAAAAAGTGTAGGGAGATGAGCGGGATCCATGTTTCAGCACGCATGCGGCAGAAGTGTTTTTTCATACCTGACTCTCTCGTGCACTTTACCACAGTGTCGTAAGGGTGAAATTGCAATACCAGTTGGGTCATTGCTCCTGTTCACACTCCACCTTGCCCTCTGTAGATCAGGGTAGAAATAAGAAAAAAAAACCAGGCTCCAGAAGTGAAGTTGAGTCTTATTGGGTCGACTTACAGGTACGTGTATTACAACAGACAGGTGCAGGTGAGCTCGCCAAGCAGTTCGTTGCCGTGTCGAGCAGCAAGCAGCGATCCACTGTTTCTAAACTTTTACACGCGTCAGGCTCTCATTGTCGCTGCAGTTGAGAACAAGTTCTGCGATTGCCTGATAAACGGGAGTTCGATCTCGTGTAGGATCTTGCAGGCCAGCGCAAGTATGTGCTCAGAAACGCGGAACTGCATGCTGATGAACCCTAGGATATTTAAACCTGCGTAGCGCTTCTTCAGATGAACTGTATTATCGTGGCTTCACTGATTGTGCATCTGTGTGCTCTGTCGCGCGCTCGGTTTTTCTTTCACTTCTCACTCCTCGAAATGATCTTTCCGGCACTGTTCACTGTAGAAGGTGGGGAGGAGGTTATGGGGGGGGGGGCATTATGCGCTTCCGCTTGTACTTCACATTGTCATGTTTATTGCTCTAGGAGAATTGGCAGGTATTCTTTCTCACTGCACTGCAAGAGTTCGCGGGCGTTCTTTACAATTTGGCAAATTGTATTTACAAACTTTAACTAGTACCACTTCATCCCTTCACAGAATTTCACAATTCCACGAATCTCTGCTGTTGATGGCCCGACACGACGATAGATGTAGCGAAAGTGCAAAATGCTGTCCTCCCCCCTCCCTAAGCCGAACTGCGCCGGACAAAGCTTCTCAAAGGCGCTTTGATGAGGCATAACCTCTCCCCCCCCCCTCCCCGACGAGCACAGTTCTCTTTCATTCTTCAAAGTAAACTCCGATAAAGAAGGTCTCAACTGTGGTGTTTTCAAGGCTTTCTGTGATTCGATCCTAATTCCTCGGAACCTCTGGAACAAGCGAGTTTTCCTTGGTTATAACACCCTCGAATGTAAGCATTGCTAAGAAATTCTGATATGATTGCTCTGTTTGACCCTCATACTTTGCTGTAATGGTCATGAATGAGAAGCGAGTAATATTTTGTCTCTATTTCCCTTAAACATTTGGGATAAGTGCTTATAACTTTTCAGGCCTCATCACTTCCTCTGAAGGGGCAGGTAGTTTCCATAGTAC